TACACACAGTATGTATATATATACACAGTATGTATGTATATACGTTTGGGCTGGGCAATATGGACCAAAATGAATTTCTCAGTATTTTAAGATAAATCGCGATATACATATATATCTCGATAATTTTTTCTTTTCATACAGCAGTAACAAAAATATGTTTCTAAGTCAAAGCTTTGTCCCAGTTGTCACACAAGCCCATTTATTAACAACAGCTGTGACTGCACAAAGTAAATGTCTAAAAAATAAACTACATATATTAAAGTTTCTTTTTTAGGCATTTATTTACATATGCAAGTACAAGTTTCAGGACATTTGATAATGTAAATAGAAAAATTAAAGCTGATATATTCTTGTTTTTAGTATTTCACCCTGTTTTACGGCACCCTGATTTATTGTTTTTTACACTACTCTTATTTGTACTGCATTTTTTACTGTAGTTTATTGTTGTTTACTGTTATTGTTGTCTGTACTTTATATGTTCTGTCTGGAACAGGTCCCTCTTGTAAATGAGTCCTCATGGCTCTGTGAGACTAGCCTGTATAATAAAGGTTGAATGAACGAAAAAAGTTGTGCTTGTGCTAACAAATATATTTTTCTGAGTCAAAGCTTTGTCCCAGTTGTCACACAGGCACATTTATTAACAACAGCTGTAACTACAAAATAAATGTCTAAAATATAAACTATTTACATATATTAAAGTTTGTTTTTAGACCTTTTTTATTTTATTTTACATATATTAAATAAGAACCCTCCCCAGGTGCACCGCCTTCACTTAAGTGTGTGTGAACTGCAGTAGTGAGGGGCTGCTTGTATTCAGCGAGGGACAAGGAGGGGCGAGGGGCTGTGTGAAGTTGGCCGCGCAGATGGGCAGAAAAAGAAAAACTATATGGATTTTCAAGTCTTGCAGTGAGAGGAGGTAGCGCCACATTAATAAAACAGCAGCTTATCATATTGCTAAAGACACGGTCCTTAGCGGCTAACAGCCATCTTGTTAGCCGCTAAGGACCATGTCTTTAGCGACATGATAAGTCGCTGTTTTATTCACATCACCTCGTCTAGTCTCGTTAGTGTGTGTATTTAAGTCTGTTTGCCTGCATCCTTCATTGTCTGGTCATTGTGTCACTGTGATGCCTGTTATGCTCCTCGTATCCTGCGTCCTGTCCCATGATTTATGTAAGTTTGCTGCCCCGTCAGCCATCTTTATTTTGTAAATAATAAATTATTGATTTATATTCCTTGAGTCTTTCCTGTCTGCCTGCACCAAATGGGTCTCCTGCCTGGAAACCATCACATATTCTTGACTTTCCTCTTCTCCCTCTACCTCTTGACACGTTTCCCTCCACATAGTTTTTGACTAACAGTAATGCTACCATATTTAAACTGGCACCCTTTTTGTCAACCGCACTGGTGGTGGTCATTGTTAACCCGGGCCTTGACAGATCTGGTATGGTGTTGCTAACATGAACTCTCATATTAATTTTGGCAAAATGAAGTTTTGCCACAGGCCTGGAACCGTCACAAGAGACACACTGGCTTGTGCTCCCTAGTGGCTGGTTTATCTCGCACTCAGTTATGACTTTTTATTTATTACATAGCAGTCTTAATATGTTGAACTTGTACTCGGGGACCATAGGGATTACTGCAACCATAAACAAGACTGAGCAAGTACAGAAAATGATTGAGTAAAATAAATTGCCTTAAATGTAATAAAGAAGGTCTAAAAGTTTGCTAAAATATCTGTTACACTCATCACTGCTTTCAAATTAAGTTTAATGTAATTCAGTTAAGCACATGCTCAAGTTTGTCATATGCAGGCGATTACAAGGTTAACAGTACAATGGTTCAGGATGAGAAGAACTGATTTGACTCACTAAAAAGCAAAGAACAATCAAACAAGAAAATACTAAAGCATGCAATAAGGGTACAAAATAAAGTACCAAAAAGTTAAAATTATATTTACAAGGTCCTAAAGAGAAATAGTAAACAAAATGATAGAATATAACGGTGCAAGTAGGATGAATTTGTATGAATAAGTATTTCAAGGTAATATAAGCTAAACTGCACGATATATAATGCACATAACTAACATAAACTGCACGATTGTGTGACAGGTTATTGCACAGGTAGTGAGTAACACTGAGATTAATTGAATTACGATGGTAAGTGACATACATGATACAGCCACATAGTGCAGCAGCAATAAACATATTAGCTGCCACAGCTAATATTAGTCAGGTGTCACAGATGTGGCTTGGTGCAATGTTATTATAGGGATTCTGGGTTTTTGTCCTGCCTTTCTGTTTCCTCATGTTTTCATTCACTCCTCTGTGCTCCTCCTCCTTGGACTAGATGAGGGGATGGGAGTCAGCTGAGCTGAAAGAAACAGGGTGCAGGGTGAGTAGGTGTGGCAAGACTGAGGAATAAGAAACACAATGAGGAGAAAATGACTGATGGCATAGAAGTAAATAAAGGAAGACACCCCCCCCCCCCCCAAAAAAAGCACAATAAAGCACAAATAAAAAAAAAAAACACACACAAAAAAAAAACAGTAATAACCCATTATATAAAAAAAAAACTTGCAAGAAAATTAAAGACAAACAATGAGATTGTGACAATGTCAGTCTTATTTACATTCAGTGTTGTGACTTTACATTATGACTTAAAGCAATAGTTTAGATTTTCTGAAAATGGTTTTATGAAAAGGCAACAATGAACAGCTGGTTGAAAACCTTGGTTTGGAGAAATGGTGTTTAATTCTTATTAGATTGATGAGCTAATGGCTAGTCCAAGTGGGACCAGAACAAAATGGGTTACTCCTGTTTTAAACACTTCCATTACCCTTAATTACATAATGTTTTTTTGTAAATGTAAAATGTTACACTTCTGTCAGTTTCTATCTACACAGACTCCTAAGTTGTTTGCAAATACAAATAAAAGCAGTATCAGCTGCTACCTGATGCACTTCCCACTTCTGGCATGAATATCATAATATTTCTGCTGCAATAATTCTGCAATGCAAAACAAAAAGTGTGAAGGTTTTGAAAATACTGTTTGCATATGGATCGTTTGAAATTCGAAGACAACACCAATTAACTTTAGTCGTTGTCCAGTCAGGCTTGTCATTAGCTCATAAATTCAGTGAGTAATAAATATTTTTTCCAAACGGAGGTTGTTCAAAGATCTATCTTGAACAGGTAAGATATTAGTTGTTAATATTGCCTCAGAAGCCAACTTTAAAATAAACGTGTGACACCTAGCTATCGTTTTGTCATTATATATGGAATATAGATCTAGTTAACGTCTCTTCCCATCTTTCCTCATTCATCCACAATATGGGTTTAAACAAACTAATCTGGACTTGCTGAGATAAAAATGCATATAAAATTGAGCTCTTCATCCAATATCAACTTGTGCTAAGCAGGTTGGATAAATGCAGAGCGCGAGATGAACAGAAATGGGTTTGTCTTAGGATGATACAAATATGTGCAATCACAGGGGAAAAGCAAATGACAAAGAAAAGGGAGAAGCATTGCCACGTCTGTCAGATCATTTAAAAGCTTGACAGAGATGAAATTAGGAGAAGACCTCGTCTTCATCTCTACTACACGACAAGGCAGACTCGGAGGACAACAGTTTGGTACCGGTGGTTTTTTAAGTTTTTCAAGCTCTGACAATTTAAAATCAATTTACAATGGAATTATTCAACTCTGCTTTGGGGAAAAATATCACTTTTGTGCGTCCTGCTTATTTTATAATAAGAGGGTTTATTGGCTTGTCCAATATGAAGTATTACTATGTCTTTCTGTTTTTTGTCTACATTGTTTCAGTGCTTGGAAACACAGCTGTTATGGCTGTTATATATCTGGATAACAACCTAAAAACTCCAAAGTATGTTGCTGTTTTCAACTTGGCCTTTGTGGACCTGTTAGGTAGCACTGCTCTGGTGCCAAAAGTGCTTGATATTTTTTTATTTAACCATAATGTAATTCCTTACAATGACTGCTTGACATTCTTGTTTTTCTGCTACACTTGCCTTTCAATGCAGTCTTTTAATCTGGTTGTTCTCTCGTACGACCGACTGATGGCCATCATCTTTCCTCTGCACTATCGACTGAAGGTGACCTGCAGGCTTATGCTTTCATTGATAGCCTCATTCTGGATCTTTGCTGTAATTGCCGTCCTTATTGCAGTCAGTCTTCTTACAAGACTCTCCTTCTGTAATTCTGTGGTTATAAACAGCTATTTCTGTGATCATGGCCAGATCTATCGGTTAGCATGCAATGACAATTTTCCTAATGATGTAGTTAGTTTAGTTTACCCTGTTCTTATATTTTGGCTTCCACTGGTTTTTATCCTGTTAAGTTACATTTATATAGGTTATACTTTGGCGAAAGTGGCAACATTACAACAAAGCATCAAGGCCTTTAAGACGTGTTTAGCTCATCTCTCATTAGTGGTCATTTATTTCACTCCACTGTTGATTACGTTCACCTTGATGGAAAAAATACATCCAAACAACAGGATCATAAACTTGTCTTTGACGTCAGTCTTTCCTCCCATGTTGAACCCGATCATTTATGTTCTCCAGACACAAGAAATCAAAGCATCAATTAAAAAAATATTAAAGTTTGGTTTGAAATCCAAAATAAGTACTAAACAATCTGCAACTAAGTGAACAGGATGTGAAATTTTTCAGTAAATGTAACTATCATTTCAAGATGTTATACTAATCCCACTTCTGTATCAAGTGATAAAAGTTTATTCAAAAACTGTTGTGATATTTTCAAATGTTTACAACTTGATTCATTTATTTTATATCCAGTAATTGCACTTCTAACCTGTAAAATTGTCTTTAATATTTATCTGTTAAAAAAACATTGTTTATATTAATCTATATGCTAATTTATTTTAGTTTACTTTTATAATCATTTTTGTTTGATGGATATTGTGAAGTACATTAGAACCTAAAGTTGTTTTCCACAAAACCTGTAAAATGAGTTCTTATATTCTTGTGCGTTTGATAAAACTCCCTCAGAGAATGACATCTGTGTAATTTCTGTAAATTTGTGTTTGCTTATCGTCAATAATAAAATATATATTCATGGTTAAACATTAATTCAATATTTTTTGAATGGTTTGTTTATAAATTTAGGATGTACATTAAACAGACAAAAAAAAATTCCTGTCAAGATAATTTTTTAAATTATATATAAACATTCATATAATGGTTTATATAACTTATATTCATTTGTAAATTTATTATATCAGGTCCTTATATATTTTCAATGTTTAACAACAAAACTTCAGTGGCCTTTGACACTGCTGTGATTTTAAAAAATATATATTATTTTAGAAATGCACTTTGCACATTGCCTATCCCAATCTGTTTATGTTGTTGTTTATACTTTATAATTAGATGGCATATTATTTGATGAGTAACAGAGCTCTTTTCTCTCCGTTAAAGTAAATACTTGAGTTTAAATCAAGATAATTTTAAAGAAATGTTGCTGTGCTCCTCTGTTCTGATACAGAACAGCTGAGCTCCTGGTTTGACTCCTGTCAAACCAGTCTGAACTCTGTGGCTCCATCAAAACTGATGCAGCCTAAAGCCAAACCTGAACCCTGGTTCAATGAAAGAACTTGTGCAGCCAGACGAGTGCCACAGAGGTGAAGGGAAATGGAAAAAGGAAAAACTTAAGCTTTCTTTTCACATTCTAAAGAGCTGTCAGTGTCAATACAAGAACACTGTCCAAGAGGCCAAAAAGAACACGTCAGACATTATTGTGTCTAATCATAACAGCATATGTGTCCTTTTTTAAAACTATTGACTCTGTTCTGAAGGCCCCCACAGCCTGTCTGCCTGGAAGCTTCTACTGAACTATGTAATAACTTCCTGCAGTTTTTAAAAAATATAAGTTTGTTACCACAAGAGCCCTTATTTCAACCCCTGATTTTGACCCCTCCTGCTTGGTCCCCTGCCTGGCTGTTTTTGGTAGATTCGAGCCTGTGACTCTGACCCTTTTAGAGGGTGTGGTCATTTTTTTTCATTCAACCTTTATTAATACAGGTTAGTCTCACTGAGCCACAAGTTCTCATTTACAAGAAAGACCCGTTTTAAACAAAGAACACAGATGAGGTACAGACAACAATCATATAAAAACAACAAAGTCCATGCTCAGTAATCCAGGTATACAATCCAACATCCAACATCCAAAATGTTGGACTGTATACCTGGATTAGTGAGCATGGACTTTGTTGTTTTCAACCAGTTTGACACGACTGTCAACAAGGAAGAGGGCCGGCAATGGAGGAGGGGGCGTGACAAAGAGACCATTGTTGGATTTCATATTTTTATACCTTTTTATATTTCCTATCAAGCATTCAAATGTCATGTTATACAAAGTGTGTGTGTGTCTTTCTTCCAGGGTTGAACTATATTTATAGAAAATGTTTGCTAATTCTAACTAGTTGACCTTTAAATATAATCTCATATTAGCTAAGGATAATTTTACAAGTTCACATTTGATATATTACAAGCAATCAAATCATGCCAGATAGCAGACTGATTAACATAAATAAAGCTAGAACACATCTCTTTAATTTAGACTTAATATAGTTTGACTAAGTAAAATCCAACTAAAACAAAGTAAAACAGAAGTATAAAAAGGGATCAAGTAAGAACACGCAAACATGAGTTAGATAATAATTAAGTTATTAATTATTCCTAGAAATAAACAACTTTATCTCAAATCATTTGGTATCACTAAGGTATAATCACGTTAAACAAACAGAGTGTTAACAGTTTAAACGCAGACAAGGAAACCAAGATGTATCTGCCTTAAAGCAGAGAATCACCAGGCCTTCAACAGACATTGATTAACACATACCCATGAGGTAGGTAATAATTAATAGTTATTATTGACACGAATCATTTTGTATCCCTAAAGTATAATAGCAAGTTAAACTTTAAACAAAGAACCGATTTCAGTGAGCCAAAACTTCTTATCTGAAATGTAGACATTAACGTCCTTGAGGGGGCGGGCTAGAGTCGTAACCATAGCAACAGAAGCTAAACCAATCAGAAAGCTAGCCTTCTCAAACTGTGATAAAAGGCCGGAAATGACACACGCCCACCGAGCATTTCCGGGAGGTGCACACCGAGACGGTTCGTTCTTTAATGCTCCAAATATATGCATATATTTCTGTATTGTAATTGTTTGTCTCTGAATATCTGTAACCCCTGTTTGTCAAATAAATCTTTTATACCGAGGGCGATGTCTCAGCTGTTTTGAACACGACGTGGTATCCAGCCACGACACCATCTTAGCACCAACGTAACTGGTTTGTTCCACTTTGGAGTAAGCTGTTGGGGGAAGAATCAGTTTTGTTGTGTGTTTCCTTGACTGATGAAGCCTTCCGGATCGAGGGCGAAACGTTGCAGCACAACAAAAATAAACTGTCCAGATGACCTGACTGACAAATGTTGACTCATATAAAAAGCATATAAAATGAAAAGTAAATTAAAAAAATAGCTACATTGTAAGGCGATGTAAGATACTAAAAACAGAAACATGTCTGTGTTGGTTTTTGCCATGAACTTATTGTTTAAAATCCCTTAGAGAGGTCAAGGTCGAGAGCTTCAGATCTTTTTTGCAAGGTGTTCCAGGATACAGGAGCGAGTAGGCCCATTTGCCTAGTTCGGTTTGCACTGAGGGTATACTGCAAGTAATTATATCCTGAGACAGCACACTGTAGCTGCACTCACAAAGTGACATATAGGAGGAGATGTATGAAAGCAACAGACCAAGAAGTGATTTAAAGGTGAAAATGTACCAGTGGGAGAATCTGCGTGAAGTTAATGATGACCAGTTAACCAGTGAATACAGAGTGCAGTGATGGGTACAGTAGTTACAGCTAGTTATGAATCTTAGTGCATCATGATAGACAACATCTGCAGGGTGCTTGTAGGTACATTCATGTAAATAATGTCACTGTAGTCAATGGAGGGAAGGAAAGTAGCAGTTACAAGGTGTTTTCTAACATTCAGACTTAGACGGGATCTATTTCTGAAAAAGAAACCAAGTTTTACTTTCAATTTCTTTACAAAGTTTTCGACATGAGGCTTAAAATGAGGTGGGCTGGCCTGGGGGGGCTCAGTCCTCGCCTCCTTCTGTGGGTATGCAGTGGAGAGCATCCTGTGCTCCTGCATCAATATGTGGCACAGAGGCTGCACAGTTGCAGGGGGAAAAGCTTTGTGGAGGGTGGTGGGGACTGTGCAGGGGACTGTTGGGGTCAGCCTCCCCACATCACAGACATCTACTCCTCTGGATGCGGGAGGGGGGCCACCTGCATCATGGGGGACCCCACTCACCCAGCACACACACTTTTGTCCCGCTCCCCTCAGGCAGAAGGTTTTGGAGCATTAGGTGCAGAACCACTAGACTGAGGAACAGCTTCTACCCTGAAGCTGTTGGAAAGATGAATCCCTGACAAGGAAAGTCACTGTGAAAAATAAAATAAAATGAATCAGTGTAATGCCACTTTGATTGATGATATGTGATTATCCATGCTGCTGATATCATGTTGCTGTGTTCAGTCATACTCATCTACTCACACAGACTTGTTTGTGCTGCTGTTGTTGGGCGTATTGTTTCTTTTTATTGTATTCTTAGTTTAGCGTATTTCTTAGTTTACATCTTAGGTCCTTATTACTGTTTATTTTACAATTATATTCTTCCTGTTGTTGGATGTAACTGGGACCCTGTGTACACAATTATGTTCCACCTCATGTACCACATGCGATGCAAATGACAGTAAAGAACTTGAATCCTTGAATAAAAGAAAGATGTGTATTGACCAAGATACCCAAGTATTTATAAGAATTGATAAACTCCATTGGAATACCATTTGAAGATCAAATAGAAGGAAGAACTTCTGGTACCGACTTCCTGTTTGAAAACAACATCCCTTTGGTTTTATCAGCATCTAGCACCATTTTGAGACGGAACAAATCTGACTGGATGATGTCAAAAACAGACTGTAAAAGCTGGAAAACCTTAGCAACTGTTATAGCTCGACAATAAACAACGGTATCATCGGCACAGAAATGTAAGAATGCAACAGGAAAGATCTGACCTACATTATGTAAATTGTGAACAGGATGGGTCCTAAGACTGAACCTTGTGGTACACCGTTGTTAACAGTTACATAGCTGGAAGATCTTGTGGTGGTCACCCCATAATAAGCCATCAGGTTTCCCTCCTGACCTTGTCCCCCTCATTTTTTAAAAGAGGCTTTCTTCAGCATTAGGCAGGTGATCCTTGCTGTTATTAATAGCAGTCTGTCCTCCGGCGTTGTCCCTATAAGCTATAAACATGCAGTGGTGCAGCCCCTGCTTAAAAAACCTAGCCTAGACCAAACTGTCTTGGCTAATTTTGGCCCATCTCCAAACTGCCTTTTATTTCTACAATTTTAAGAAAAAAAAGTATATTCCCAGGCCAAGTGTTTTTTGGATGAGCACAATATCCTGGAGGTTTTTCAGCCTGGCTTCAAAATTCGGCACAGCACAGAATAAGCTCTAATCAGAGTTTTTAAAAACAATTTTATGGCTTATGATCCTGGTGAGCATGTGGTTCTTGTCCTGCTCAACCTATCTGCTGTCTTTGATACAGTGGACCGCAACATTTTAACATCATGCACCAGTTGGGCATCTGTGGTACTGCAATGAGCTGGTTTAGATCATATCTGGCAGATAGAACCATGTGTGTCAACATAGCTGGTTCTGAGCCCTCCACTGCTCCGCTGTTCTACTTCGTGTAAGCTGCTGCCATTTAAAAGCTGTTGCTTATTGGATTTACCCCGCGTGCTGAACACTGAAAACTTCTAGTCCACGCCCACCTACTGTGTGGGCCCCATCCGATCTGTTATAAATTGCATCTGGACCAGAGATCGACTCCCCGTTTTCTTCAGCCAACGCAACCCCCCCCCCCCCCCCGAGAGAAAGAAAAAGAAGGAAAAGATGACCAACAAAAAAATCGAAGGGCATTCGTCTGTGCCTCAAGTGCCAGATTGGCTACATTTTGTCGACGAACCTGCACGTCGTCTGTGAGAGCTCTTTGGGAGCTGAACATGCTCGCCAGGCCATGGAACTGCTGTTTTTCTGCCCAGCATGCAAACTTTTTTCTGGCAAGGAAAAGCAGCACCAGTTTGAGCTCCTTTCCTTTGTGGAGGGCGAGTTTCAACCGAGGGGGGACTGTTCGCTGGAGGAATTTTTGAGCTCCCTGGACTTGGAGCTAGTGGACATGTCCCCCTCTGAATCTGAAACAGCTAAAAGCTGCACTCCATCCTGCCTTTCAGGAGGTTTGGAGTCTGTACTGCCGTCGACAGATGCCCCCTGACCACCTGGGGGTCGGCTACCACTTTGCTTTACGCACTCCCGGAGACAATCGGGAGGTCGGCGAGAGCCTGCAACCTGGGAGTGCCCGAGCAGGCGGCTCCAGTCACGTCGACCCTTTTGGCGGCCAGCACACCAGACACCAGGACCCAGTCTGGCCCTGTTTCCCGGCTGTGCCTGCCCTCCTCCCGAGCTCGGCCACTGACCCTCTGAAGTTGAGGGCGCCGGTCGCCTCCTACGAGGCCATCACAAAGGTCGAGGGGTTCACGGATCAAGGCTTCCCCACCGTCCCCCCTCTAGAACCCAGCTTGTCGGCTGTCTTCGGGGTGAGAGCAGCGTAATACGGCCGATGCATTATCCCTCCATCTTCCGGCGACCAGCTCACCACGAAGCTGACGGACAAAATTCACCTGTGCTTGTCGCAGGTGGGAACAGATGATGAGAGGTTAAGGGCCTTGCTCAAGGGCAAATGAGGGTGGGGACAGGTGTGGGTGCTTCACCTTTCGTACCCACATTTTGATGTTGTCGGTACCGGGAATTGAACCAATGATCTTACAATCACAGGCCCACCTTCTCTAACCTTTGCACCACCACTCCCATGACTCTGTAAATACTGCCAGGCACTAAGTCATTTATATTGGGTAATCAGTGCTGTACTGTAAGCAGATTTGTCAAAACACATCGTAGCTTTGTGTTTGAGGTCAGAATGTTTTTAATTCTGGAAAAGCAGATGCTCGTCTTCAGTTGTAGCACAATGTAAATTAAACAAGTGATGTTATGCTACGTATGCAAAAAAAAAACTATAAAATAACAAAAGCACATAAGTACCCTCACAGTGTTGACACGAGTAAAAGTTTTCACCATAAAAAAAACTAATGCAAGTTGGCATTGTTTAAAAACTTCATGTAGTCAAAAAAGTTAAATTCTAACCTACACAGTATGGATCTTGAACAACAATGCTGTAAGAGTGAAATATCTAGGATCTATTGCCATACAGATGTGAAAATGTTTTAGGCAGCTGTTATTTCAAACCAAATTAGGTGTTCTAGGTGACAGACATGATTTGTGAATGTTTGACGTTGTTAAAATGAATAAATGCTAAAAAGTAATGCAACCCGTTTTAATACAAGAAGTCTGTTTCTAACAAAAGCCATTGAGACTTATCCACAGTGACGTATGTCAACATCTAGTGCATGACCGTGCAGTAACATATAAATGTGGTCAGTTTCAGTGTTGCTCACTTGAGAGCACCGTGCACTTGCTGTTCTCTCAAGTGAGTTAGGTGCACACACATCTTTAAAGCAAATGCATCATCCTTGTTGAGGATCAGGTTGATTTTGTGATTTGCATCTTTAAGCTCAGCCAAACAGAAAACAGTTATGTACTCAGAAGAAAGAAGTGTCACTGTGTTAAACGCCACTTTTGTTCGTCCTGATACATTTTACATCGGTGGATTTACCAACCTTCCTCATGCCAAGTACTTCTTTATATTTTTGTGTTTCATTTACATCATGACTCTGCTTGGAAACGGTTTTCTCCTCTCGGTTATTTACCTTGTGAAGACTCTTCACACTCCAAAATACGTAATTGTGTTCAGCTTGGCTTTCACAGATGTGTGCGGGAGCACTGTGCTCATCCCTCAAATGCTGGACACGTTTTTATTTGACAGGCGGTACATCGCCTACAACGCTTGCTTGACTTACATGTTCTTTGTTTTATTTTTTACAAGTGTGCAGTCATGGACACTCATGACAATGGCATATGACAGACTTATAGCAATTTGCTTCCCCTTAAGATACCACAATATTGTTACTATCAAATCTATCGTTGCTATGCTGCTGTTTTCGTGGACTTTTTGGACAAGTCTCATAGCAGTCACAGTTGGGTGTTTTAATCGCCTTTCTTTCTGTGGATCTTTAGTGATACGAAGCGCTTTCTGTGATCATGGACCAGTATATGTTCTGGCATGTAATGACACATTTTTAAATTACATATTGTCATATATTGGCTTCCTTACAGTCATTTGTATTCCGCCTGTGCTGATATTTTTAACTTATATTTGCATTTCTGTCGCACTGAGCAGGATTACATCAAAAGATCAACGACTTAGAGCACTGAAAACTTGTACTTCTCACCTGATTCTTGTTGCTTTTTTCTTTCTGCCACAGGTGGGCACCAATGTAGCTGCTTTGACTTCCTATATTCATCCAAATGCTCGGATAATAAATGCTGCTTTAACACATACAATTCCTTCTCTGCTTAATCCTATTGTGTACTCTATAAAAACAGAGGAAGTGTGGAGTGCTATGAAGACACTTCACAAAAGAAACAAACTTCGTGCGCAAACATAACTCTGAAGTCTTTAATCTTTAAGTAATTGTACTATAAATCATCTCATAAATCCTAATATTATGTGATTTGCAGTCATTTATTGTACTTCCCTGTGCTAAAAAAAAATCACACTTATCTTGCTTTATTTGTATATTGCAGTCACAAACTTTTATTTTAGGCTGCAACAAAAATAGCTGCCACCTTGATGGTTTGCTTTGAAGGAACACAGACTGAACTGTGATTTAGCATGGCTGGAATAAGGCTTCCCAAAATCAAACAAAATACAATTTCTAAAACTGTTTCCAACTTTTCGTGATCCAACATCACTCACTGAATGTCAATATCATTGTCCTTCTTTCAGTTGTTCACCACTGACCAGCTGACCAAACATTTTGATTATTTTTTTTTCCTTTTTGAAAGAAATTTTGCAAACTTGTTAGTGTCAGTATATATATATCTATATATATATAGATTTATAGATAGATAGATATGAAAACATGAGTTTCATTTTTGACAATTCTTCTTTCTCTTGTCCTATATTTTACAGAATTTTCCCATTTTAATTTTAATAAAGGTTGTTCATTTTGCCTTCTTTTGTGTCGTTCCTTTAAGCCAATACCTGTAAACCTTTTAAGTTCATGGAGAGATTTCAAGCAGCCTTTTAGTTTATTGCAGTACAGAATGTATTTGGTCATATTCATGATACTGAACAAGTGAAAAGAAACATAAAGATGAGCAAAAGTGCAACTCCTATCAGTGCAGACACGTTTTGGATTCTCAAATATATTATGCTCACATTGTCTCACTGTTAGATTTTTTTTTTAGTTAACTTTGCACTGTTTATAATAATATCAAGTTGCCAGTGTTATTTTTCATATATTTAATGTAATATAATTAGTATAATTACTAATGTAATTTGTGTGTGATTTATAAATAAATAAAATAAACACTGATTTATGCTTAATTGTCAAACATTAACAATTCACTTTGTAGGGCTGTTACTAATTAATCCATTTCATGTTGTTTATAATTTTAGCACCCATTGTGCACTGTTCAGGTAAAAAATATAGGATTAAAAAAAACAATAATTATTAAAAAAAAGTTTTTAAATGTATGATTTGGCTAGCGAGCCAAGATGGAGTAAAGACAAATGTGTCAGAGCTTCTGCAGATTTATAAACATTTTTGTGTATGAAATGTAGTATGTCATATAGGGATATATATTCATACTTTTCACGAGTTCC